AGGAGATCTTGCGCGACAGCGTCGAATTCCAAGAATTAGGTAAGCGAAAGAGCCGAGTCGCTCGAGTCACATAATTACCCATACAAATACAACTTGGATAATAAACCAAATTGCGTTACACGAGCAAGCCTGCGAGGAACTGGAGCTTATACTGCGCGACGACGATTTGAACGCGCGGAGCGAAGAGCTCGTTTTCGAGGCCATAAAGACCTGGGTGGAGACGCGCAAGGACGATCGGAGCGCGGAGCTGCCGCGGTTACTCGCCTGTCCCCGATACGGTCTCATGAGACATCGCTACTTCACCGAGAACGTCTTAGTCTGGAGCATCGCGCAGAATCAAGTACAGTTACCATCCCGGCAGCGGGTAGTCCAGCTTAGTTTGTTATCTATCCAGCCTCGGCATTATCTTAAAATAGGAGGCGCAATCGACGCTCTCTTTCTCTCTCTCTCTCTCTCTCTCTCTCTCTCTCTACCCCCTCCTCTCTCTATCTCCCCCCCTCTCTATCTCTCTCTCTCTCTCTATCTCTCTATAGTCCCTCGCGCGGCCAATATACGAGAAATCTCGAGTTTATATATATAATCGCCAACGAGCTTGAATCGCCCGATCGCCCGATCACCTGATCCAATTGATAAATGCCAACGCGTTAGGGCTTCGGCTGGTAGTGTTAGTCCCAGTTCTAAGTATTTAAACGACAATCGCGGATAAATAAAGGAATGCAAGGAGGTGCTTCTACCGGTGGCCGCCTACCTGGCGGAACGCGCGATGAAGCATCGCTCCAGCCAGCAGACGCAGCTGGATGACGAGCTGTCGCGCCCGAGAGTTCCCCACGAGATCCTTTTCGCCGTCGGCGGATGGAGCTTCGGCTCGCCGACAAACTTCATCGAGACTTACGACACGAGGTATGACTGACCAATCCCAGTGCTTTATTATTCGGCTATTATTGACCGGCGCTTAAGCCACCGATGCATCGGCAATACTATTTAGATTATACTATATCGAAACGTGTACCATCCAGTATATATATGTATATATATATATATATATATATATATATATATATATATATATATATATGTATCATATATACATATTAATTACCTACTATTAACAATAAAAACAACAACAACGAAAAACGCGCGTGCTCGTGTCAATACTGTAATTGCCAAAGCAGCGGATAAAGGAGCGAAACTGACAAATTCACAAATCCCCCGTACATGGGATGAGCAGAGTTTGTAACGAAACTGGTCGAAAACAGGGCAGACCGATGGTTCTTATCTTCCCACACGGACGTCACGCCGCGCGCCTATCACGGCACTTGCAGCCTCAACAACGTCATCTACATCGTCGGCGGCTTTGACGGCAACAAGTACTCGAATACCGTGCGCTGCTTCGATCCCATGAACAAGGAATGGCGCGAGAGGGCCTGCATGTACCAGGCCAGGTGCTACGTCAGCGTCTGTACCTACGGTACGTGACTCGTGGCAAAATTGGCTTAAAATTAGCTTAAAATTGGCTTAAAATTGGCTTAAAATTGGCTTAAAATCGGCTTAAAAACGACTTAAAATCAACTTAAAATTGACTTAAAATTGGCTTTAAAATATTTTATTTTATTCATATATATTTATATATTTTTTATTTTTATCCTCGTTGCCAACCCGCAGGTGGTAAGATCTACGCCTTAGGAGGTAACAACGGCGTGACACGCATGAACTCGTGCGAGCGTTACGATCCGAAGGCTAATCAGTGGGAGCTCATAGCGCCGATGAAGCGCCAGCGCTCGGACGCCAGCGCCGCCGTCCTCCGTGGGCGTATCTACGTCGTCGGCGGCTTCGACGGCCAACAGGTGCACAACTCCGCCGAGGTCTATGACATTGTCACCAAGCAGTGGAGCTACTTGGCACCGATGCGGGTGCCCCGCACG